TCCATCACTGTGCCTTCTGCTCGATAAAGCAGCGTCATATACTTCCAGCTGTGCCCAAACAGCCTCTGGTCTCTGAGGTATGAGAAGAAACCTAGAGTTCTCTCATACGGTTGATAGCATCAAAAAATGCCCCCCAGCAACACCAACTGCCTGGCTGATGACACCAAAAAAATTAATTTGTATAAAATTCATTATGTGTAACTGCTTGCTGTGCCCTGCCCTGACTGTTTTTCCTTAATAAAAGGCTTAGGATGGGTATGAGGAAAAAGTCCCTTTTCTTTTTTTCCCCTCCGATTTCTGAAATTTTAAGAATTTCTCCAAGATCTCACTTGATCGCCTCTAAGAACTCAGCCAGGGCAGAGACAAGGACATGAAGAGCTGCTGAGGAAAGCAGCTGGTGGGATCTATCCCCATCACCTGTGCTTTGGTGCCTCGCTTATCTTTTTCCCTTGCCTTCAGCCTGCTTCACTACACTGCTCTCCAGTATCTCTGGGAAAGTAGAGCACATGCAGAGTCTGGGCTGTTTCTTTCTGGCTAAAATATGTTTTAATTATTTGCTAAAATATGTTTTAATTAATTATTTGCCGTAAAAGATCTTATAAGGTTCCTTCCCCTACACATATAATATTTGAGCCCTTATCTTGTAGTCCTTTCAGCATTATGACTGGTATCACTCATCAAGTATGGTGACTTGAACTAATTTCTTGTATGAGAAATGTGTGAATGTAGTGGAAAAATGTTTTTGTCATGGTGGTTTCCTCTTTAGTACCTGTGTTCTGTTCTCTGTTAGTGAGGAATTTCAGTGGCATGCTAACCTGGGAAAGGGGGAGATCCAGGAGCCAGAAGAGTTAATTTCATTGCCTGGGACTGGTGTGGGTGGACCCTGGCTGGACACCAGGTGCCTACCAAAGCTGGTCTGTCACTTCCCTCCTCAGCTCAACACAGGAGAGAAAATATAATGAAAGGTTTGTGGGTTGAGATAAGGACATTATCATCACATCAAAACAGATGCAACTTGAGGAAAATTATTTTAATCTATGACCAATCTAATTGGAGGAAGATAATGAGAAATAAAAGCTAAATCTTAGAACCCCTCCCCCCGCCCCTTCCTGCCTTTTTTCCTAGGCTCTATTTCACTCCTGCATTCTCTACCTTCCACCCCCCACTACTGGACTTTCAGTGATTGCTGAGCTACTACTTTATCTTTATTTCCGTGTAGATTTTTAACTAAGCTTGTATGTGAAAGGTGTTCTCTAGTTATGTGACTTGTGCAGCCTTTGCAGACTGGGGTTTCACTTTTTGGCCTCTTTTATGGATTATTGCAGTGTAGCTGTTGGAATTCAATAAAGCTTTATGAACCTTCTGTATGGCCCTGGGGGCTAGATCTCACACCCTCAACTCATTCTCTTTCACAGGAATTAAATACCCTAAGTTCATGAGGGAAAGGGAAAAGAGGAGGAACCTGGGTTCTGTTCCATTTCATTTAGAAATAAATAAAATACAGTATTTCTTAGCAGCAAGGCTTGTGCCATCATTAATATAATAATTTGGACTGTTTCCTCTGGATCGGGGAAATGTCTATGCCAAGGGTAAGAATTACAAATGGAGAGAATTAGAGAAATGCTCTATGGGAGGCAGAGCAAGAATTAATTTCTTCCCACAAGGAGAAAAGCAAACCTGGTAGATCCTTGGAGATCTGGATCCCGGGCAGGCACTGAACCTACCTGTGCCTCCTACTCCTACACTTCAATCATTTTTCCCCCTCCCATGCATGTGCAAAGAGAGATCTACTGAAAGGGAGACAGCTCTGTCAGTACCGAAAAATTAAGCAGGGTGAGAGTGCAATGTATTCTAGTAACCTAAAGTCATCTTGGACATGATCTTTGGTCCTATTGCAGCACAGGCAGTGATTCAGGACAGACCAAGGCCTGTTCCCTAAAGTCAGCTTAGATGCATCCATGTCATGCTGGAGGTCAAAGTATTTAAAGGTAAGGCAGTGACAACTGGACTTCTGGGTCAAGAGAGTGTGCACAGGTAAGGTCTAGTTCACTGTCAGAGAAGCAGTAAAGTGTCATTTTGAAACTCTAAGTTTTGCCTTTGTGGTTACTTAGAGCTGTTGCTTCACCTTGGACTCACAGGGAGACAGAATGGAAAACTACAGGCACCTACAAGCTATAGCCCAGTGTGTTCAGGGCCTTCAGCTGCCGCTGTCTCTGGGGGTGGTGGGAAGTGCTGACCCTGAGCCACTTCTCACAGGGTACCTCATACTGGGCAGCTCTTTCTGCATACAGGGTTACTTAGCTTTGACTATGAGCAGCAGCCTTCTGAATCTATTAGCTATTAGTGTGTTCATTTGTACATGGGGAAACTGAGGCAGCAATGCTGAATGACCAGCCAAGGTCATAGATCAACTAGCAGTAAAAGTGGATCCTTCCAATTTCTTGTTCCTCTACTACTTCCTTAAACCATGCCAGCTGCCGCTGTCTCTGGGGGTGGTGGGAAGTGCTGACCCTGAGCCACTTCTCACAGGGTACCTCATACTGGGCAGCTCTTTCTGCATACAGGGTTACTTAGCTTTGACTATGAGCAGCAGCCTTCTGAATCTATTAGCTATTAGTGTGTTCATTTGTACATGGGGAAACGGAGGCAGCAATGCTGAATGACCAGCCAAGGTCATAGATCAACTAGCAGTAAAAGTGGATCCTTCCAATTTCTTGTTCCTCTACTTAAACCATGTCCCTATATTCTTCCTTAGCTAAAGAGCTAAAAAAAAGTAGTAATTACCTCTAGTTTCAGGTGTGGAATATTTAAGGAGCAAAGTTAAAAGTTTTCCCAATTTACCAAACCAGTATACTTGTGAATTATGATAGTCTTTAATCAACATCACCATGACAGGATGATCTTCCTGTGCACCTATAGTGGTTTGCCAGTGCCAGTGAGCAGGTACCCCTTTACAGCAACAACAAGTCTTTGAGAGAAGACTCTGGATCAAGTTTAGCTGTGGTTTGGTGCAAGATCCCATGGGCAATGTACAGTTTCACTCCCTTGAACATTATAAGGACCAAATCCAAAACATAATCCAGCCTGACCTTGTCTTTGAGGCTCTTTATCTGCTCAAATCTGGACCAGTTGCACAGGTTTATACGGAGGAACACTGTGCTGCCATCTCATATATGACTAAAATTTTTATTTAGTTTGACAATTTTATAGGGCTTTAAAAAATGATTCTACTTACGTTCTTGCTAAAACTCTAAACTTTGTGAGAAATCTAACATGCATTAAAACAAAACAGAAGCATATGGGGTATGCTTAAATGTGGTTACATCTTGAGTGACTGTGTTACCTGCAGAAATTTGAGTGTAGCTGCTCTTTTGAGACACTTGATGGATTTCACGCTGATTGCTCCAATATGCTCATACCATGTGAGAAGAGCATTGAGTCAGCTTAGGCTGAGCCTTGGAGAAAAAAAAAAGAAAATGTACAAAGAAAACTGCATTTCCTTCCAAACAAACTGAAAGAGGGAAAGAAAAAAAGAAAAGGATGCAATAAAGCTTTAGCTTTGCGGTGCTCTGCTACAGGATATACCCACAAAGCTAAACCATCTGCCCCACACGGGCATGCTGATCTCTCCATCCTGGTGAGAGAAGCCTGCTGCCTCCTGGCTGCTGCTCTCTCTCTGTCTCATAACACTCCGAGGAGAAAAGGTTAATCTCCCTTAACTAGCTCCACACAACCCAGCCCTGGGTTTTACTCCTCTCTCAGCACAGCCAGGTCTTATGAACCCATCTGCAGTGAGATTTGCAAAGCAACACATATTTTCTGGTGGCGTGGTGAGACCTGTGGGATACTTAATGAGAGTCAAAGTAATTACAGATTAAGACTATGTCCTCATTGGTTTGATTTTTAGAGGGTTTCACGCGTGTGGTTTAGAGGACTGTCACTAGCTGTAGGAAACAGCTGACCTGACAGCTTTAATTAAGGAAACATTATGCTTACTAGAGCCCTCCTAAGTTTCAGTACACCTTGAGGATAAAACATTGCATCTTTCTGGTACCTGGAAAGAAGAGAAGGCAGATAACCCGGCCTAAACTTATTTGTTCTAGCAATTTGATGCAAAAATGTCTTCCACAATTTATCAGACATTGAAGCAAAGGACTCTTTTACACTAAATGTAGAAATATTATATGTTTCTGTATATATTAATAAAGAAGACAGGATTTAACAACAATTTATCTACACACAATGTCAGTTTGATTATATTTCATTTCCAATATTTAGCATTCATTGTTAGATTTTACATTTCTATCAGTCAGATATATAATACAAGATACAGACCATGGCACTGATATTTAATTGTTTAGGAGCAAAGATGTTCTCACTATTACTTAGTTTTTTGATTTTTAGGTACAGTGGAAACATGGATAAATAGACAATACTTGTACTAACTATACATGTTCTTCCTTATCCTAATATTTAAAGTGCCTACAAATCAATACATTTAGTATTCCTGTAGTGTTGTCATTCACTTTTTAAAAACTCAGCTTAAAACCTATGGATTTACTATTGTCCTTATGAAACAGAAGATCAGTCAGAATAGTGATATGTAAATCCTAGGAAGGCCAGTTTTGGTTGGTTTTTTTTAACTTTTGTATTGGATTAGTTTAATATTTCTCAGACGCTTATTATTAAAAAAAAAAGAAAAAGACATAAAAAAGGCAAAAAGCAAGACTTCTGTCTCAGGAACCTGCAGCTCAGGTTTTCAGGCAATCCTACATCACCTTCCAGCATCGCGTCCTTTGTACAACGGCGGCCCTCGCTCTCCCTCCCTCGCTCCGTCCTCCTCTCAGCCCCGTGCCACCGTACCCTGGCGAGGAAGAAATTTTGCCCGTGCCACCGTACCCTGGCGAGGAAGAAATGTTGCTGGGTTTTTTTTGTTTGTTTGTTTGTTTGTTTGTTTGTAAAGACCCTGAGCGTGCCGGGGTGGGTGCTCCAGGTGGGCTCTACGCCCGCTTGACGCCGTTGAGGAGCTCCGTCAGTTCGCTGATGTACTTGATGGTGTACTTCAGGGTTTGTATTTTGGTGAGGGGCTGTCCCCTCTGGCTGTAGACGGGGGGCAGGTAGTTGCGCAGCGTGTGGAGCGCGTCGGCCAGGGTCCTCATCCTCAGCTTCTCCCTCTCGCTGGCCTTCCTCCTGCGCTGGGCGGACATCCTCACCTTGGTGCCCTTGGGCAGCCGAGCCTGCCCGGGGTTGGGCAGGTAGGCTGGGGGGAAGTCCACCAAGCTGTAACCCACCAGGCTGTAGCCCACCAGGCTGCCACCGCCCCCGCTGCCGTAGGAGGTCTCCGCCGCCGCCACCGAGCAAGGGGACGAGGAGTAGGATTCGAAGGAGGGCGTCGGGGATAAGCTGTGGGGAGAGGAGCCGGGGTGCAGCTCCAACGTCCCAGCGGCGTTTTTCCAGTCCCAGGGAGACAAGCAGACGGAGTGCTCCGACCCCAAAGCGTCTTCCATGTTTATCAACGTCTCGTGCAGTTTGTCCATGCCAGAGGAGCGCTCGGGAGAAGCGACGTCCTTCGCCCGCCAGCAAAGGCTGGAGCCGCCGGCTGCCGGGACCTTTTTATGATGGAGGGGGGAAAGTGACAGAGTGGGAACATGGGTTTGGCAAGAGGAGTTCAAAGGAGCACCACAAGTGCTAAGATGGAAAATGAACTCCTGATGTGCTAGTTTCTTCTCGGTGATAATTATCAACCTTCAGCTAAAAAGCCTTTAAGCTAACAGGCAGCAGCGAGAAAGGAGGAAAAAAAGATTATCTTCTTGCAACTAAACCAATTAAGGCTGCGCATCTACGTGTAACGTGGCGCTGGGGGGATAAGTGGCGGGAGAGGAAAAAGAAAATTAACTGTTTTACGAAACAATTTACAGATGTAGAATTTAAACATAGTGACCACTAACACAAACCCTGAATTTAAGCCCATCAAGCCCTGATTTCTGTGTAACTGAAGGCAATGGCACTACAGCAGTGATGGTTCCATCTGTGCTGACTGCTGCTGAAGGAGCCTCTCATTATCTGCATCTTAATTGTGAAAGTCAAAGATGGTTTGTTTGGAATTGTATGCACTATGGCTCCGTGGATTTCTCTTCTCATGAGAGCGCAGCTTCTCTCTGGATCTCTTTGGTTTTCAATAGAAGAAAGGAGGAAAGAAGAGTAATGCATTCCCTGAAGTCCGCAGATTCATTTGCTATTTTAAGTAGCTGGGAAATAAAAAAAAAAAAAAAAAGGAAGTCTGTAAAACTGTAAAGAAAGTCAAAGTCCCATTTAAAAAAAGAAATGTGAAAATGTAATTTAAAAAAAAAATCTAGGAAACAATGAAGAGCATGTAAACTTCGGGCCCAGAAAAATGTCTTGCGTGGAAATTTAATTCAAAGCAATATACAGATTAGTCGTGTGTAAGAGAGGACTAGAAGAGAAGACTAGAAGCTACCTATATAAAATTTTCTACCTCCAGGAATCCATCCTTCTGCCAAAAAAAACCCTTTTCCAGCCCTGATTCAACGCAACAGTGAAGTTATATGTTAGGCAGCTCAAGTGAAAACATATATCCTATACATTAATAGCATTAATAATGAGCACTTTTCATCTCTAGGCTTCAGAACAGCTTACGGTGATGATTAATGATCTCTATTACTCAGGGGAAATGGATAAGCAGAGGCAAGGAGTAACTTGCCCAAAATCACACAGCAAATCATTAGGGGAGCCAGGAAAACTGTCCAAAACTACTGAGCTCTGCAGCTCTACTGAGTAGCTCGGCCGCCAGCCATGACTTTGTATCAGCCCGTAATGGAAGCAAAACATAATATGTAATGAAAAGAAGGGGAGAAAGAGCGCCAACCTAGAGGAAAAAGAAAAGTAGGATTTATTTTAGAGATTCCTTCTGTGTGCACCATAATCCACTCTGACAAAAGTGGGGTAAATGCCTCTGAATGACAGATAGCTGAAGCAAGTTGGAGCTTTTTTGGAATATGTAATTTCTTTTTTATTGTGAAATCCTCACTGTAATCACTTAAAAAATAAAACAAACCTACAATCCCATACTCCTCACAGTCATTAGGAAGGCTCTTGTGAATTTTTATGAGTTTTGGATCAAAACGTTGGAAAGCAGCTTGCGGGAAACTTACTGATTTTTTTCTGAGATGAATAAGAAAGAACCAAAAAGTGAAGGATTTTCACATTTCAGCCTGGGCGGGCACAGTTTGACCATGATGACATCTACCCCAGGCAGAAATGTGCAGCACAGCTTCCCACAGTCAGGAGTGCTTTGGGGTTTATGGCTACCCAATCGTATCCTGAGTTCTGATTTACTCTTTCTTTAAGGAAAATGAGCTGAAACGGTCCTAAGAATCAGAAATACTTACTATAAATTTATATTAAGACAAGATGAAAGACAGGTATTTTCTGTGACTTCAGTGAACCGAAAGAGTTTCATTGAGCACCAAGACAATGCTCACAAGGCCACAAGTTAGACACAAGGTCTAATTTAGCATAAATAGGGAACTCAGTTTTGTCCCCGTTAAAATATAATTTCCACTCTTTTTTCTCTTTTCCTCCCCGTGTCTGTGTTTATAGTGCCTTTTCCATTTGTCATGTCCCTTGCTCTTATTTTATGTTTTTCCCTTTTTTGGTAAACACAACAATTGAAAGTGTACAAATGGACAAAAATCAGGAGGAGGAAGAACTTCTGTGTGCCAAGAAAAAGGAGGCTGCAAATATATTTTTGTGTGTGTATATACATAAATATTTTTAAAATACACGTATTGAGCATATATACACAAGCTGTTCTGCTGGGAAGTTTTGATTTTGGAATCAAATGTTAATTAAATGCAGTCAAAATTAGAAGCAAAGATTTCAAAAAGTCATGTGTTTGCTGACTATGAACAATACATGCTTCCAGTTAATTTATACCCCTAATCTATGTGTAAATCATAGAAAGCAGATACCAAGGGGGAAAAGATACTGTGCATGTCCAAGATGCCATTGCTGTAAATGACAGGCATACACAGCCAGATTTCATCTCCGTATTCTTATAAAAAGGGATTGGGTTGAGATTAGATAGGGAACACAAATTCAAATTATAGGAATAGCTATATTTTTTCTTATATCTTATGGGTGAATATTTGCTGCAACCAATGCAATATATTAAAGTATGTGGAAAACTGCTCTGGTTGCATGAAGAAATCATTGGATCTTATAAGCTTATGCTCTTACAAACTGTTACACAGGCAAGAAAATTTTACAGGCTTTTCTATATTAGTAAACAATAAAGGGTGAATGCTCATACTTGAAAGCTGCCTTGCAGCTGTACATCCTATTTTATTACCATCATCCACCCTGGTGTCACTTTAGCTTGGACCCACCTAGTTATGACCCAGCCATTGCCTCACTGGTTCAGGGGAGGCCACTGAGGGGATAAGGTTGATAAGGGTTTACCCCTAAGAAAGCAACTTTGCTGTGACACAGCAAAGTTCTCTGTACCCCTAAGAAAGCAACTTTGCTGTGACACGTGTCTCCAGAGCCAGAGAAGGGGCTGTGGCCCTCTTTGCTCTACTGGCATAGACACAGCCAGAGGTTCAACTTTGGAAAAAAGCCACCCATTTCTACCCACAGCCCCCAGGTTCCCAAATGTACTCGTATGCAGTATTGCCTCAGTTTGGGCCAAATGGGGAGGCTATGCAAGGTCTCTCCATGATCCCTGTGTGATCCACAGCCTATGTAAGGCAATAGGGAGGTTGAGTTGGACTAGATGATCTCTATGGTCCCTTCCAACTCTAAAAATTCAGTGAAATTCAGTGAAATACAGTCTTGTGGTATTTAGCTGGTTTTGGATAGCACTATATCACTATGTCCCAACCCACAAGTGTGAGAATCCTTTGTTAGGAAATCATCTCACAAAGTAGGGACAACTATAACAGGCAAAAATTACAGGAAGTGGTAGAACAGTTTGCAGTGTTGTTTAATAACAGAGCCTTTAAAAGTACCCTACAGAGGAAGACATGGCTACAGGCTGCTGTGTTTTTCTATACCTTATAACTGTTTTATACTCTCTCACTAAAGAGCTAAGGAAGTCTAGTATCTCAGGTGTCATCTTCCTAGAAAGTAAATTCATGCCAAAAAAAAAAAGTGTTTGCATTCTTTATTTTATTCTACCTCTCACAAATTTTAGGAATTCCCTTTTTGTCTGTCAGTAATGTCAAAACATTGAAGGGGAGTGAGATATGAGGTTAACAACAATGAAATACGAACTGACACTTAAAAAATGATAAGACATTTTCTGCTTGACTGATGGTTTTGATTTTCATTTCAGTAATGTATTCTGCAATATAAAGGCTAACATCTCAATCTTCATCTCCTTTAAAATGACAGGTTCCCTGCTCATATTTCTGAATTCATTATGGAAAGGAGGAGAAGCCTGGATGCATGGAAGAAGTGAAAATTTTTCCATTTAAAAGAAAAGACAGGTAATAGAAAATTTATAGAGCTTCCGTATGTGCCTGATTCAGATTTGAAATTTAAAATAAGTTGTCTAGATAATTACTGTCATCCACAAATATGGTAAATAAGTACATTTTTTGTGTATGGTTATTTAAGGACTGATCCACCTTTTTTTTTTTTCCCTATAGTTTCCACCAAACTGTGAGTTTGGTAGGAGAAATAAGTAACAATAAGTAAAAAGTCATATTGGAAACTGAGTAAACATGGATAAATGTCTTTCAACAACACTAATCCCATAACAGTCAGCCTCCTTCACAATTAGCACAGAAGTCTAGTCTTATTTTATTGACGAGAAGCAGATCAGACTAATATCCTTGTAGAGCACTTAGACGACAAAGCCTCCTCTTGCAGTTTGTACCATGAAAAAATATCTATCTATCTCCCGAAAGCTTTTAAAGTCGCTTCATCTCTTCTTTAGCAAGAGGTTTCCTAAGCATCAGCTGCTACGCCGCCCACTCGCTGCGGAGGTGGCTGTTACCGTCCCCGTTTACAGGGGCACGGACCAGGAGCCAAATCGCCCCTATATAAAACGTGGGGCGAGCAGCTGCGGGTCTCACTGACTTCAGCAGACGCAGCAGGTGTTCAACACTTCCGAAAAACAGTGTTGAACACCTCTGTTTACGCCCAAGCTGGCAATAAAAGAAGGAAAGGATGCACCACATTTGTCATCCAGACTCACATTAGCCACTAGAGATGTTTCTCTCCTTTTTAAGGCTTTCCCTCAACTTGGATAGATGTGGTTTGTTTTTTTTTTTAATAAGTTGACTTTGCAGCTCTTTTTCTACATATGGAAGATGGTTTAATCTGTGTCCAACCTCAGCTGAAATAAATAAGACTTCTAGATAAGCAAGCTGGTCAACAGACTTTTTTCTTTTTTTTTTTTTTGTTTTATTTTTTTGTTTGTTTTTGAGGTCAATATACCAAAGAATAGGGATGAATAGCCAGCTACAATCCCTAGAGGGAAGGAAGGCAATAAGAGAACCAGGACTGATCC